AGCGATTTTAATGTTGAAAGGACGACGAAAACAGCAGGAGGAGAGACATACAAAAAGAGTTAGAGGCACTGAATATGATATGAAAGAGAGTGTGTTCGGAATAGTACATGATGGGATTGATGGGTTCTTCTTCTTCTCTCTTTCAACACCATCCCCAGCTTATTGTGGAGTGTTTCCAGACTGTGGAACACCTCCTGTCGCCACTCCAGATGATGGCACTCCGGTGGCTCCCTGCGTGGTCGCGGCTCCGGAGATTGCGTTCGTCTGCGATTGTTGAGCCTTCTGCTTGAGCATGGTCCAGTCGAATGTGTAGTCGTACTGAAAAAATAGTTTCGTTTAGTTTTGCAACACACTGGCAGAGCTTACTTGATGGTTAAGCGTTCTGAAGAGAATTCTGAACAATTGCCGCAAGTACATGTAGTCTGGCGATTCGTCGAAACGAAGTCCTCTCGTGTAGCTCAAATACATTGGGAACTCGGCTGGGAATCCTTTGCACAAGTGCTCAACTGATGTCGTCATTTTCTGAAAATGGTAATAAATTGAGCGGAAACATAGCTTCGAAAGCTTCGAAAATAAATAATCTCGTTTTCCGAATCCGCGCCGGCTGATAACTCGCTACAAAATCGGAACTGTGAGCAGAACACCATACCAGATGATAGAGCTCGGCGAGCTCTACAACCTCCAATAAGAATCGACCAGAATTTTAATCTGCACCCCGACGCGGGCCGAGCAAAAATCACCGGCCCGGCCCATAATACCGCTTTCGAAGCCAGTGGATTCTTACTGTAGGTTGTAGAGCTCTCCGAGTTCTATCATCTGGTATGATGTGATGCTCAAAAATCTAGTTTTGAAGCATGTTATCATCCGGTTCGTCGAGAAGTATGAAGATCTGAACAGCGTAGACTATAAGAAGAAACAAACCTTCTCGGAAATCTTCTCGTACTTCTGCTTCTTGGTGGCAGCCTTCAATCCTTGCCATGGAAGAGTTCCGCGGTTGAAGTACATCAGAACGTATCCGAGCGACTCCATATCATCTCTGAAACACAACTAGGTCAAAATCTCCGCCCTTGCGGGTTCTAGATACCTTCTCGATTGCTCGATTCCCAAGTGAGCGTTGATCGATGCGTATCTGGCGGTTCCTGTCAAGTTCTTGTCCTCTCTGTATGGAATGTGAGTTCTGGTGCGCGAATCACGATACCTGTAAAATGAAAGTTGGGAGAGTTGTGAAAAGATCAGTGATTTTACTTTTTGGCCAATCCAAAGTCGATCAAGAAGAGCTTGTTGCAGTGACGTCCGATTCCCATCAAGAAGTTGTCTGGCTTGATGTCCCGATGAATGAAGTTCTTGACGTGCACGTACTCGATACGCCCGATCATCTGATCAGCCAGCATGAGAACAGTCTGAAAATTAGCTAGATTATTTCAATTGCACTTTGTTTTCTCTTTGAAGTCCAAAAATCGATAATTCTCGCGAATTCCGAGGTCATTATTTACACAATACAAAACAAACTTCTCGCTAGATAGTTCTAAAAAGATCAGCAGCGAAACACCTGAAAGCGCGGAGGTAATGAAGCAAACATTATCGAAAGATAATGGGGCTTTCTTATGACTATGCTTAGTGGCTGTAAAACTACATGACATCAGAATAATCCAGAATCCGGATGATCTCCTGGAGGGCGGTGATGTTTATACCTTCATGGTGAATCGTCTGGAGCAGAAGTTGAAGAGATCCTCCAACGATGGGCCGAGAAGATCCATGACGAGCACGTTGTACTCTCGCTCGGTTCCATACCTGGAAATCGTTTAGTTCAGGCTAGAAGAACGGGATAATGTCTACCATCTGATGTGTGGGATTCCAACTCCTCCTTGCAGAATGCGATAGACTTTGGACTCGTAGAGCAACTGTGGGTGTCGTGCCTGAAAATTCAATGGTTTAGAGCTGCTGGACAGAGCTTGAGATCTGCAGCATGGCAGCGGCCAGCCGTGAAAGAGGCTGTGGAGCGACCCAGGAACTACTATAACCGCTATCCCGCCGTATGCTTCCCATCCCAGAAGTACACAGAGCCTTGTTCTGAAGTTTGGGTTCATCAGATCGGCTAGAAACTCACCCGGTTGCTCTCCAGCTTAATGGCCACCTCCTCGCCGTTCGTCACGTTTATCGATACATAGATATCTCCAAATGAGCCAGAACCGATCTTTCTGATCAGCTTGTATTTTGTCGCCACGATAAAGTCCTTTACCGACATAACACCTGCCATGTTGTTGACTACTGCTGCGCTGAAAATGCGGTCAATTCGTTGGATTCGTTCTCGTCACGATACCTTTAGTAGCAGCACACGAGATGAGTGCACGAGGGCACCAGGTGGTTCAAGTGTGAGGATCTAGACCTGAAAATTTGGGATATTTAGAAGGAAAAGGACAGAGCGCAATTCAGGCAATCGAAAAGAAAACGAACTGAAATCTGATACTTTAGATAGATAGATAGATTTGGCGACAAGAATCGATCGAATAGGGTAAATAACAACACCGCCGCTGGCCCCAAAAAAAACATTATAGGTTGTTTTTGGGCTGCTGCTTTGTGAGGAGACAAGAAGCACGAGTGAAACAAAAACACGTGGGGGAAAATGTTGCTAAATGGCTTGTTTTTGTACTGTTTCAGCATCTGAGGAAGGTGGAAAAAAGCATAAATAAACAATTGAGAACGAAATGGGTCAGAGATCATAAAATCGATTTCGCTAGGACAGAAATTTCTCTGGTGTAGTATTGGAGAGAGAAAGGGAGGAAGGTGCGTAAAGTAGTAAGGGAGAGATAGGAAAATTATGAATTTCAACGATAAAACTGCGATTCTTCGAAACTAGAGGCAAAAAATAGAAGGCTGCGAGGGTTTTAGCAATAAATTGAGCCGAAAATTGGAAAACGACACAGAAAAAGAGTTTTTTCGCGAAAAAAACACTGAAGATTCCACTGACAGCAACTTTCAAGCAAGGCGCTTTCTATTTCCTGTCTTTTCCTTTAGAAAACACAGAAAATTATGAAAAAACAATGCCCATTTTCTAATTTCACTACTTTTGACTTCCCATCCGCTATTCCGCGATTTTCAGATGTTCCTAGGGATATTTCCGTTGCGGCGATTAGTTCACCAGCTAGCACATCTCATTTCCTACATTTTACACCAAAAATTTTCGAAAAACGAGCGGAAATCGATGAAGAAACAGCCGGCGACGGGGTACCGATTTCGTCAGTCACACACACACACAAACCGGGAAGGCCGACCGCTTCGCACCGAGTGGCGCGTCGCGTTTGCGCGCTAGTTCAAAATCGAGACGCGTCGCTCTTCTCTGCCGTCTCTTCGCGCCAAGCGCATCTCTCGTTCCTATCTCTTTTGCTTTTCGTATCGTCTCGTTTCGGTTTTCTTTTTCCGAACACTACGTTTTTATGAGGAAAAGAAAACGAATGGGGGGCAGAAAGAGAGGGAAGAGGCCACAGTCAATTTGTTGGATTAGACTGGGTGAGGATGGAGGAGAAATAAGAAATAACACAGCGATGACACAAACACACGTGAAAAGAATTAGAAATGAGCGGGGTGATGAGCTGGAGCCGAGGAAATCGATATGGTAACAGGAAAAACGGAGAAAATGGGGAGAACGAATGACAAAAAACCGATAGAGTGAAACAATGGTAACAGGGAGAAGATGAATTCTCTCTCCGTTCTTCTTCTTCTTTTTCTTCCTCTCGACAACCTGTTTTCAAAAAAGTTACACCGAAAGTTGGTGTATTGATAAATTACAGGCATGTGATTCTCTTCTTTTTGAAGTCGTTTGGTCGGAATAAGGTACAAGAATTTTTTGTTTAAAAAAATCAAAGAAAAAACTGGAAAAACGGTGCGTGCGAAATTGAGCATTTTAGGCGAGCGAACGGCTATTCGAAAATAGCGGGGCGTTTCAAGAAACACCAAAGATGACGCGAAAGTGCACAAGTTTTTTGGGAGGTGAGATACGGTACACATGCTCCAGATATGGAGCAAATTTCAGCCAAATATCGGGAATAAGCTGAAAAAAAGCATTAAAAACTAATTTTCAGCTAGGCAGGAAAAAAGAAAAATTCCCGAAAAAAAACCCTCTAATGGGCATGACGATCTTTTGAAATCTTACAAAATGCACCTGAAATGACGCAAATTTGCACTGTATCTAGGTGATGACGTGGCAAAGCCAGAGCTCGAAATTTAGGGATTATCCTCAGTTTTCAGGTTAAAACTGAAGGATTTGGAATTTAGAAAAATTGGAAAATTCGCGACAATTCTGAAAATCAACGAAAAAATCTCTTGAAAGCACTTAAAATTACGCGAATTTGCACCGTTTCTAGGTGATGACGTGGCACAGCCGGTTTTGAGGTGGAAATTGACCGATTTCAAATCAGAAAAACCTAATATTTTGCGAGAAATTCTGAAGTTCAACTAAAAAATATCTTAAAAGCAGTAGAATTTCCCCAATTTTGCATTGTATCTAGGTGATGACGTGGCACAGCTGGAGCTCAAAATTTTGGAATTTTGATCGGTTTTTCAGGTGAAAATTGACCTATTTTTGATTTAAAAATGCTGTGAAATAAAGAAAAATTTTTAAAAATAGAGAAAATTTTGAATTTCCGGGTGAAAAAAGAAAAAAAGAGGAATTTTCACAAATTTTAACAAAGCTGTCGTGACGAGACCACTTTAAAAGTACGACAACATTTAGAAATAGCAATTTTTCGGTGAAAATTATAACTGGCGAAAAATAATTACAGCTAGCAACCAACTTGTCTGCAAAACAAAAAAGTAACAATTATAGGCTTTTGTTCAAAAATAGCGCTAAAAAATTAACAGTGTTATCAGTCAACGTTATCAATGACACATTTCGAACAAAAAACACGTGGTTTTCAGACGAAAATTGATCTGAAAACGGCTTCTTCTTCATCGAAAATTTCTCTTTTTGTGGCTGAGCAAGACGAATTAAGAAGCTTTTCATCTTCTCTCTCATACTAAACTCTCTAGAGACTAGAGAAACCATACAATCGAGGAAATAGTGTGTGAAATTAAGAGGGTGTTGCAGAGAAAGAGAGAAACATTTACTCTTTTCTCTCTTCCCCATCCACAATTTTATTCTTCGACTACATGGGGCTGTAGTACTGCTCGCTTGTTGGGAAAAATGGAGAAAAAGAAAGGAAAAAACGACCACCAAAAACAATTCTGAATCATCACCATCATCATTCAGTTTGTACGTTTTGCTTTTGGCTCAAATGCGCTCCACTGCAAATGTCATCGAAAATCTCCTGAAATTGACAATTTCTGACGACAGGTTCAGAAGAGCAGACGGAAGTGCGCTCTAGTGCACTTTGGGGTTTCTGATGACGTCGGGAAACCAAGTACTATGGGTTTCTTGGGGAAACGAAAAACAGAAAAAACGGCAGAACAAAAAAACGGTTCGATAAAATTTTGAGTGTTGGGTCGCGAAAGAACAGACCTTGTACTTTGAGGGCTATTTGGGTACAAGAGGTGCAAAAGAGAGCGATTGCTAAGTGCACTTTTGGGAACTGAAATTTAATTGTTTAAGAAGAAAAAAGTCTCGGCATCTGGTCAAAAATTTCCCAAAAACTGCTGTAGAGCGAGAAATGGGGGCCCTTAACTTTGACTAAATTTATCTCGGTTCCTGTGAATGATATCAAAGAATGATCAACTGATAAAATATATATCATGATATGAACAATATTTTATCAGTTGACCACTTTTTGATACCTCTTACAGGAACCGAGAATATTGGACTGAAAGAAATGTCTCCTTGAATGAACTGAATGAACTGTCTAATTTGTTTTTTTTTACTTCTTCTTGTTGTTCAAAATGTGTAGTTTGAATTTCACATATCGGCCAAAACAGAAGTAATTAGGGTGATCAAAAAATCATGATACCTCGAGATCTACTTTTGAAAACCGACAAAAAATATTTGGAAGATGAAAACAATTTTTCCCGTTTCATGTGAAATATATCGGAAGGTGTTCATCTGGCAAAACGTATGTCATAATTTGCAAAAACAGGGGCGGAGCCTATTTTGTACTCCGCGAAGATGTCTTGGATGTTTGACCGACGACGTATAAAACGAATATGTAAGGGTTTTTACTAAAAAATCCAAAATTCAAAAAACCCCGACGGGCTCGTGTGATAGAATGGCTCATTCCCTTTGACCCAATTTCTCTCAGTTCCTGTAAATGATATCAAAAAGTGGTAAACTAATAAAATATTTTTCATATCATAATGAACAATTTTTTAGTTGATCATTTTTACATATCTCGTACAGAAAGCGAGTAAAAATCTATTCAACATTGTGGCAAATGGACCTTTAGCTGAAAAAAGTTGTGAAAAGATTCTGAGCTTTCGTTTGTTCAAAGTCATAAGCAAGCAATTCATAAATGCTAACCTTTAATAGCAGTACCCAGAAATCATAGGTGTGCGGAATGGAACTTTTCGGAATCTTGGAATTTTTCTTTTTGTCCTGATTAACTTTGATCTAAAAGAAACATCCCTAATGTATCAGAATTTTCCGAATTCAGATTTTTGTTCTTTCTGAAAACCCGACATTCTGAAACTCGTTTGAAAACTCTGGGTGAACTAAAATAAAATTGACAAAAAAAACGAATTTATCAGGATCCTGGAATTCTGAGAAGCTGACCATGAACTGATCAAACTTCGACCTTACTTCCACTTTCGACCTAAACTTGAAGCCTGTAACAATAATCCCCCTTTACTTTGAGATAAGTTATCTCGGCTCCAATGGAAGATATTAAAAAGCGATCAACTAACAAAATATTTTCGATAGTATGATAAACATTTTATTAGTTGTTCACATTTTGATATCTCTCACAATAACCGAGATAATTTAAGTCAAAGTTGCGGGTCAGTCCAAGTATGACGATGGCCCGCTACACAGCCGTTGATGGGCATTTCCTGACCAAAACTGACCATCTTGATTTATGTTTCTTAAAAAAGCAATTTCCGTTTTTAAAGTAAAAGTCTAGATGATCCTAATTTTCTCGGTTGTCGGCTTGCAACTTCTGGACGGAAGTTGAGGGGGGTTCGGCTTTTGGAAGGATTTTGGTCAGGTTTTTGTCAGAAGCTGCCCACTGACAGCAGTGGAACGGACAATGGTCAGATTTTGCCGGAATTTGAAGGCGCTGCGTGTTAAGAGGTCGAAAGCTGGCCGGTAATTCGTCGGATCTTGGTCGGCTTCCCACAATGTCTTTGTTCTTTCGGACCGTCTGAATTCCCAATTTTGGATGAAGTCAGATTTCTTCAAATGCTTTACTAACCAGCTTCGTCTGTTTCATCTTGAAGTCTGATCCTGAAGTCATAACAATCCTTGAATTCCTGAATTTTTGAATTTTCATTCTTAAATTTCTCTCATAAAAAATTCTCATCCCAAAAAAAGCTTTTTGAACCTTCAATTTCCATTTTCAGCATCGCTCATAAATCTCTCTGATTGACGAGAGTCTACCCGATCATTCCAATTTAGATGCCACTCCATCTTCCGTTTTTTTGGCGGTGCTGCTCCATTTTCTCATCCGTCTCTCCCCTACAGCACACTATTTCTCTCCGACAATTCAACGTTAGAAAATCCTGGAGACGATTCCGTCGCCGCCGTCGTCCCATCATCATAACGACCCTTCTTTCCTTTTCGTCTTCTCCTTTTCGCTCCCATTTCCTAGGCACATTAGCTCCCCACCTCTCTCAACTTCCTTCACTATTTGGGACCTCCATTAAATATCCCTTTCGTACAGCAAATTACCCTTTTCGGACCATCTTGTAGGCGGCGCCCATAAATCTTCATTTTCGTTACTCCAGTTTTTCCGAGAGGTTCAGCCAGATTGGTTCATTCTCCGAGTTTCCGCGGAGTTTTCTGCTATTTTTTTTGTTTGCCTCACCTGAATAAACCATTAGAATCAGTTCCATCCCTTATTCCATTTTTCAGATGCCCTGTACACTGTTCCAGGAGCCAGAAGCTCCGCCAGAACCAGTTAAAGAAGAGACAATGTCCGTGTTCATCAACTCATCCATCCTTGAATTGCTCAACGAAACTGACGACAATCGTCCAGTTTTGAGAACTCTTGAGAAGCTTCTGGAGCGTGGTCCAGAGGAAGATCGTGAGTCGTCTGCTGACGAGTTGAAAGGCTTGAAAGATGTCGAGAAGTTTGTGAAGAAGTTCGGAAGACGTAATATGGAAAAGGAGCACAGTCTGGGAGTCAATATTCGAGTTAACGTGAGTATATGAAGTTTAAACGTTGAAGCACACTTGTTACGATGAGTCTAACTCGCAAGTACATATGGTGGGAACTAGTTCTTGAAAAAAGGTGTCTTTGGATGGTGGTGATGGACGGTGCATAACTCTGCTCAAAAATGAATTTTTGGTTCGAATCAATTAGTAAAATGTAGAATTCACCAGGATCTACAAAATGATATTAAATTCAACTATATAGGAATTTTCGATTTGGAAATAGAGGCTGCGAAACATGCGGACCAGCGGGATCCGTCCGGATTGCGCTGCCTCTGTTTCTTTAAGGTCCCTAGAAAGAAAAGCCAGTTTTTTGAAAAGAGTCGAGTTATATGTCATTTTGTAGCTCTTTTCAAATTCTACATTAGACTTTTTAAATCATACACAACTTCAGAAGTTGAACCGAGGTATGCGCTTTGAAAAAAAAAACGGTTCATGTTGGTGTCATCGATTTTCAGGTCAAAATCATTGTCATCACAGTGGCTGTGTTCGTTCTCTTTGGTCCAAGTATTGAACCAAAGTTGCCACTATGTGCCAAACCAGAAGATAAGGATTGTATAGGTAAAGTGCAGATGGCATTCGAGTTGGCATTGTCTGGACCAATTTTGCTTCTTATGCACTTGGTTATGTAAGTTGAAATACTAATGTTCCTTTGACCAAAATTATCCCGATCCTTGTGCCAGGTATCGGAAAGTGGTCAACTGGCAAAATGTTACTGACATTATGGCGAACATTTTGTTAGTTGACTACTTCTTCATATCTCGAGAGAGAGAGAGACGCAGAGAAGTCGGCGTGTCCCGTGTCTCTGCGTCTCTTTTAAGTCAAAATTGAAAGGAGTGTATCTGCGGGTCCTGTGGAGCCAGAGAAATAATTTTTGGACCAATTGCTATGTACTCAGGCGTCGCCGGCCACTTCTGGCCGGAGCTTGGTCAGATTACGGCAAAGACATTGTGGGAAGCCGACCAAAATCCGACGAATTACCGGCCAGCTTCCGACCTCTTAAAAGCAGGCGCCTGCAAATTCCGGCCAAAATCCGACCATTGTGCTACCAGTGGACAGCTTCTGACCAAAATCTGACCAAGATCCGTCCAAAAGAAAAGCCGAACCTCCTCAATATCCGACCAAAAGTTACAAGCCGACAGCCGAGTAGGAAAATTTATGACCTTTCGTTTGATATCATTTCAAGTATTTTATAGCTTGTCAAATAAACTTGAAATAGTTTTTTAAAATTCAGGAAAGCCAAATCGAAAAGAGTCATGGCTGAGATCAGACATCAAAGATTCATTTGGGAGGGGATCAATAACTTGAAAAACCGGATGAAAGATGACTGCGGACACAAAATCATGCTCTCCGAAATTACACGTCGTCAAATGGATGCTGTAAAAACGATGCATGACTATCTAGAGCCAATGAAACTGAAAGTTAAAGTTATGGCGAATAGATTCAATCTTACGGTAGGTAGAAAATATTCAAAATGGGTTTAGCAATTATAACATTTTCAGGAAATGTTCCTCCACCACATCTTCTTTGCGTACCTCTTCACGCGGTTGATTGTCTCTGGTAAAACGATTTTATCTGGAGTTTATATTCCATTAGAAGTCACCAACATCGTTTGCTTCTTCTATATGCTTAAGAAATCCTGGGAAACGTATTTCGTCGTTATGGACCAACTATTCGAGTACACTGGATATGACGAATGGATTGATGAGAAGCTTGACTTCTTTTTCTTTTGATGATTTTTTTTTTGAAAATATTTTCTTGGTCCCTGATTTTAAATTTCAGCGCTTTTCGATCTCTTTTGCATAGTATTGTCATTTTAAGATCAAGAATTTTGTTTTTGAAAAAAATTACATATTCGAAAATTGTAAACGGGCTCGTTAACTTTGACCCAATTTATCTCGGTTCCTATAAGAGTTATCAAAAAGTAATTAACTGGTAACCTATTGGTGATATTATGATAAACATTTTATCAGTTGATGTGTTTTTGATAGCTTTCACAGGCAACGAGATAAATTGACTCGAAGTTGAAGGCCAGGCATCACGATAAGCGACAATTTTTGGAAAGAGCATCTGAAAGATTCATTTTTCTGTAAACTACAAAATTTTTCAAATGCTCTTTATTATTTGTTTCCTAGAAATACGCTCTCACTCTCACTCTCACTCTCTATTTTCTTCATTTTTTGCGCTAAACAATTATAATGGATGCTTTCTCTCTCCCGCTATTTCCCTTTTCCGCAATTCTTTTTTTGATAGTTTTTCATTTTTCAAGCATCTTCGATTGTAAAAAACCTGTATGATAAGAGAATAAATTTTTGGATACACAACTTCTTTGAAATTTTGAAATTTTTGCATTTTTGAAGGTACAATTCCAAACGTTATCTGAATACATCGATTTTTTAAAGCGTTCACTGTGACCTAATTTATCTCGATTACTATAAGAGATATCAAAAAACGATCGACTGATAAAATATTGCTGATATTATGATCAATATTTTGTTAGTTGAACAATTTTTGATATTTTGTGCAGAAATCGAGATAAACTCGCTGAAAGTTGAGAAGTCGGCAGGCAACCAGTGCTGACTTTTTAAACTTTACTCAATTTATCTCGGTTCCGATAAGAAAAATCAAAAAGTGATCTACTAACAAAGTGTTAAAGGGGGCGTCCGCTAATTCCAAAAATTTTGAGGTTTTTATATCAATCGATCCAGAATTTTGGGTCGGGAATAAAACTCTCTTGGAGGATATCACTCCGAAAATCATTCGTTCTTAAGATATATGTCAAAAACAGGTCAAAAAAGTCAACGTAGAGGGTGCAGATTAGGGAGAATAATAGGGAGAATAACTCACGTTTTTATTCATTTCTTTGCGTGCACCCTCAAGGATTCTGCCTCTTGTCGAGCTCCCTAATCTGCATTTTCGGACTATCCTTCAAGAGAGTTTTCTTCCCGACCTAAAATTCTGGATCGATTGATATAAAAATCTCCAAATTTTTGGAATTAGCGGACGCACCCTTTAAGCATAATATCAGCAACATTTTGTCAATTGGCAACATTTTGATAGTTTCTACAGTAACCGAGATAAAACAGCTTGAAGTTGACAGGCCCTTCTATAATCTTACTAAATGTTTTCCCAACTTCCGAATATTATTTGTTCTTCAAATTTTACCCTCAATTTTCTGGGTGGTTTCCCACTTTTCAAGGCCGGAGACAGTCCACTGACGTATTTTTCACTTCTCTACCCACACTCTCAAATTTCCCTACTATTACAACTTGTCACAAATAAATTATCTTTTTGCTGTATCTATCTTTTCACAAACGTATTTCGCTTCATTGGCGGCGACAGACGGACACTTTATTATATTTTGCCTTCTTCATTTATTCTTGTTATTTATCTCTTCAACTAATCAACCTTGACTTTTACTTATTTTTCTGTTTTTCATCTTTGGGCTTTTCAGAATGAATGATTCTAACAGGAGCAGCACCATATCTCTTCACATGATTGAAGATGATACAATGATTGGCAAGGATATTTCGGAGACAAGTTCGATAGATTTTTTGAACATAGAAAAAATTGAAAAAGAAAAAGTCAAGAATTGGAGAAGTTGCGATCCGGGATTCAAATTTCTCGTTGTTGTGTTAGTTGGTTTTTTGTTTGGTAAAAAATTCGGGGGTACAATGATTCGGGGGTACAAGGGGGTACAACTAATTTAGGGGTACGAAATTGGTGATTCGGGGGTACAAAATTCGTGGGTACAAAAATTCGGGGGTACAACGATTCGGGGGTACAATCTACCAATGATTCTGGTGTACAACTTATTTCATTTAGAGGTACAACGCTTGTGATTCGGGGGTACAATTTTTTTTGAGGGAGTTTCTGAATTCCTGAATTTCAGAGCTTGAAAATCTCAGAATTCTTAGGATTTCAGAACTTTGTAATTCCAGTATTTCGGAATCTGAAAATTTCGGAACTTAAAAATCTGAGAATCTAAAAATTTCCGAATTTCAGAATCTCAGGACTTCAGAATTTCGAAATCTCAGAATTTCAGAACTTCAAAATTTCAGAATTTCAGAACTTTGTAATTCCAGAATTCGGAATCTGAGAATTTCGGAACTTCAGGATCTGAGAATCTGAAAATTTCAGAACTTTGGAATTTCAGTGTTTCGGCATCTGGGAATTTAGGACGACAGAAATTTTTCACTTCTCATTGTCACATTGTTCTTTTTGAAAATGGAGAACTGTAAAATAAGCTTGACAAGTTTTACAAACTCAGGTTTTTAATGCTTAATTTAGGATTAAAACTCAGCCGATACTTTCCTCAATGCCAATTTTTCTCAATTCTATTTCATTTCTCTTTGTTTCTCAATATTCCTTCGTTTTTACCCCAATTTTCCGTTTTTTTTTCCAATTTTTCTCAATTTTCGTGGTAATTGAAATTTTTCTCATTTCTTTTCACAATTTTCTATATCATTGATTGAAGGAAACAATCACAAATTAGCAATTTACCAACGAAATTCGAAAATCCCAAAATTAGCCCAAAATGAGCTATTTTCTCTCGAAAATTGTTCGAACAGACAATAAAACATTGCAAAAATTATAAAATTGATTTTTTTTGCTCAAATTTTCGTGGTAATTAATCGAAAAAAATTAATTTTATAATTTTTGCAATGTTTTATGGCCTGTACGAACAATTTTCGAAAAGAATTAGTTCATTTTGGGCCAATTTTTTGGATTTTTAATTTTTGTGGGTAAATAACTGAATAGTGATTGTTTTTTTTTTCATTCAATGATCTAGAAAATTATGAAAAGAAATGAGAAAAATTCCAATTACTACGAAAATTGAGAAAAAGAGAAAAATTGAGGAAAATTGGGAGGAAAAAAACGAAGGAATATTGAGTAACAGAAGGAATGAGATAGAATTGAGAAAAAAAGCGATTGAGAAAAATTGATAGAATATTTTACAGCATACTTGCAACGGGCCGGGCTGGGCTTTTTTCAGAATTATCAAGGCCCGGCCCTGCCCGTCTCTTTTCAGAAGAAAATTTTCCTGTCTTTTCAAAAAATTTTTTGGGGTCCATAGAAAAAAAGGAAAACCTTTCGGTCAAGTAAAAAATTTTTCAAAATAAGAGTGTCCATTTAAAAAAAATACTTTTTTACAAAAAATTTCGAAAAAAAAATTCAAATTTGGAGAACCCAGGCCGGGCCCTGATTTTGCAAGTATGTTTTACAGTTCTCCATTGTATTCTTTCCGGAAATTTCGAGACTAAAAAATTGAAAATAAATTTCCTGCCTTTCAGCCAATGCCCAACATTTTCTACAATTTTTTTTCATGAAGAGTGAAAAATATGATAAAAAATCAGAAGAACAATGTGACAATGAGAAGTGAAAAACTTTTGTCGTAATTTTTAGAAATTCGGAAATTGCGAAATGAGATTCTGACGTTCTGAAACTTTGAGATTTTGAAGTTCTGAAATTCAGAAATTCTCAGATTCTCAGATTCTGAAGATCCGAAATTTTCAGATTCCGAAATACTGAAATTCTGGAGTTCTGAAATTCTGAAATCCTCAGATTCTGAAGTTCCGAAATTCTCAGATTCTCAGATTTTGAAGTTTCGAAATTTTCAGATTCCGAAATACTGGAATTCCAAAGTTCTGAAATTCTAAAAATTCTGAGATTCAGAAATTCAGAAACTCCCTCAAAAAAAATTGTACCCCCGAATCACAAGCGTTGTACCCTTAAATGAAATGGGTTGTACCCCAGAATCATTGATAGTTTGTACCCCCGAATCGTTGTACCCACGAATTTTTGTACCCCCGAATCACCAATTTTGTAGTCCTAAATCAGTTGTACCCCGTTGTACCCCCGAATCATTTTACCCCCCGAATTTTTTGCCTTTTTGTTTGACTCAATTTATCTCGATTACTGTAGAAGGTATCAAAAAGTGGTCAACTGATAAAATATTGCTGATATTATGATCAACATTTTGTCAGTTGACAACTTTTTGATAACTCGCAAAATCGAGATATTTGAGCTCAAAGTTGAGTGCCCTACGATGTAACCGCTTCAAGAGAGAGAGACGCAGAGAAGTCGGCGTGTCTCGTTTCTCTGCGTCTCTTTTAGGTCGAAGTTTAAACGAGTATATCTACAAAGCCAGTAGAGCTAGATAACTGATTTTTAGACCAATCGATAGCATATCGTATGGCATTTTTGTGATACCAAAATTTTGAGACAAATTTCAAAATCTGGAAATTGCCACTTACCTATTTGTAGCTTGAAATAAAACTTGAAGTTAGGCGTAGAATTGACAATAACATTTTCCAGTTCATCTTTCTCTTCCTTGTTGGGTTCTGTCACCTGTGCTACCAATTCTACAACGACACTCTCGATGAATCCGTTTTCGAAAATTTAAATAGGACTTTCAAAATCGTTCTAAGTGGCCCATCACATGCTGCATTATTTTTTGGCCACACTCTCTACTTGTGAGTTTTTTCTATGATTTTCTTTCGAATTTTGGTGTTATTTTCAGTTTCTATTTAGTGTTTGGAACAGAAAAAGGACGCAAACGTTATGAATCGAGTGTTGACAATACCCTGAAGGTAATGCGTTCGGAAGACTGGCCTAGAGTCCAGTTAAAAGTATGTTAAAGTTTTAATTTATTATACGAGCTCACAGTGTGGTATGCGGTTACGCTCTAATGAGAACAAGAGTTTTCAAAATTTTCTCACCAACCTCAAAAGTTGCATGACCTTCTCATTAGAGCACAACCGCATATCTCCCATGTGTACACCATAAGCACTGTCAGCGTTTAGCCTATTTATCTCGGTTCCTTTAAAATATATCAAAAAGTAGTCAACTATTAAAATGTTTATTGAAATATGTTACACATTTTATCAGTTGATTAGTTTCTGATAACTTTTACGGATTTTTTTCGGTTTTCATGTCCGGCAGGTAAAAAACGTAAAAAACCACTGTCGGACACTTGAAAAAACGGCTGCCAGGCGCCGTGGCCTAGGTTTCTCACTGCGCGGGAATTCAAATCCTCGTCCCTCCTAGCAACTTTTTTTTGAAAATTTTTCGCTTTTAACGGCATTTTTCGGGGATTTCGGATTTTTTTCAAATTTTTCTGCTATACTATTGGGAAAATAGACAACTTTTCGAACATTTTAATGCAATAAAAATTTTTGTCCCCCTTTAATTTATCTCGTCTCCTGTGAAAGATCTTAAAAAGTTGTTAACTGACAAACTGTTTATCAAAAAATCAGTATTATTTTAACAGTTGGAAAACTTTTTATATCTTTTATGTGAACCAAGATGAATTGGTTCTATTTTAACAGTCGTTTTTCACATCTCACAATGAAGAACATTTCAGTGTATCCTTGGCTTCCTCATCTTCCTGGTCTACTTTTTTATTCGATTCGCCTTATCTCTGATATCAGTTTATCAATCTCTCGATTCTCTGGAAATCGCCAATGTCATCTGTTTTGGTATTCTCTTCGCAATCATATGTTATTTGTTCATCGAATGGTCGTACGAATATTGCACATACAAGAAAATACCAAGAGTGCAAGATATATAAATTTTTGTTGATATTTTAATAAATTAATATTTTTGTATTGTTAGAAAATATTTTGTAGAGCTTCCAAATGCGATTTTCCACTTATCGTAATGGTGGATCATGAAGAAAATTCCGTGTTTTAATTTTTTTTTCGGAATTTCGGAATTTCGAAATTTTCCGAACTTCGAAGTTTGAGATTCGGATATTTTTTGAAATTCGTAAAATCTAAATATTCGAGAACCAGAATCCCGAAGTTCTGAAAATTAAAATTTCATTTTTCCTGGGATTCCTATTATTCGGAATCTTGGAGTTTTGGAATTTTCTAAGATCGGAATTCGAAAAAACCCAAATTATTTGAAATCAGAATTTTCAGATTTTTTTGAGTTTCCAAGAAGTTCCCAAAATTACCGAGAATCCCATAATCTTCCTTTTTTTCCAGTGAATTTGCACTTCCTTCTTAAAAATATTCTAATCTCAAACTCATTTCATTGCCTCTCATATGCCAAAAGTCGTATGACACCGACTACTAATTTGCAAGAGAAAAAGAGCACATCCTTTTCTCCTTTCAAGGATTTTTCTCTCTGTCTGCACTCTCTCGTTGTCTAAAATTCGGAGACGACCTGCTAATACGACACCGGAAGAAGTGCTCTTCTTCTCTGCTCTCTCTTCTCGGCTGCTCCCTTTTTTCAACGTCGTCTGAATCTTTCTGTTTTCTCCTAGCCGCTCCTTTTCTGTGTATTAATTTCAAAGTTTTGATTTTGACCTGTGTATAAATAATCCGAAAGTTTAATTGTAAGGCGGATTATTTCGGATTATGAAAAATTGCAATGTGTGAAACCTTGTTGTCTTTTATTTTGTACCGATTTTTCTTTCAAATTCTCTGTCATTCCAGACACAAAAATGTCCCAAATAGACTTAAAATCAGCAAAAGCCGATTCCATCACTCATTTCATCAATGAGGAGCTACTCGGTTGTCTCTTTGAACCTACCGACAGTCGTCCCGTTTTGCGACGTCTTCAGAGGCTTCTGGAGCGTCCGAAGGAGGATCGAATGGCGTCTGCACAAGACATTGGAGGATTGAAAAAAGTGGAGAAAAAGGTGGCAGCTGATAAAATGAAATATGGAGAGCATTTGAGACGACTGGCAGTTTGTGTTTGTTATACGGTGAGTGGAATTGGGGTGAGGCAGAGAAGTCGGTGTTTCTCGTTTCTCTGCATCTTTTCTAGGTCAAAGTTAAAACGAGTGTATCTGCGGGATCAGTAGGGCTAGAGAAATGGTTTTTAGACATTCTTCAGCAAATTTTATGGTCTTTCGTTTGATGTCAAAAATTGTATATCTCTCGAAAAATAGTTTTCTGTAGTGTCGAAACTCCTTAAAAAAACACGCATTCTTATTATTCAGAAATACGCTCTAACCACTCATCTCATCCTTCTTCTATTCATCGCTTTAAACTTGGATACCATTATTTGTGAAGCTCTAGGAAGTGCCGGTGAATGCTATCGAGGAATCCTATGGGGACTCCGGTTGTGCTTTAGTGGCCCAGCATTTTATCTTTGCGTTCGGAAATTGTGAGTTAAAATATTTAATGGGAAATGTCATGAATCAATTTTCAGAAGACTGGATCCCGAGGAATATACCAAAAGAGAGGAGCAGAAGACCCCCAAGGAGAAAGACGGAAAAGATTGGGAGGACACAATGGAGCTGTCCGAGCTGACACGGCGTCAGATGGCAGTATTGGAAGTGATGTATGTGGATGTTGAGAGGAGCAAACAGAAAGTGGACATGGGTGTCAGATGGTATCATTTAACGGTGGGTTTACATTTTTGGACTATTTTGTGCTAGCTTAAGTTGAGCTTTGGGCTCATTTATCTTTCGTTGAGCTTTAGGCTCATTTATCTCGGTTCCTATAAGAGCTATCAAAAATTTGTAAACTATAAAAATGTAGATCGTGAACTTTTACGCATTTTGTTAGTTATCGAATTTCAGCTACCTTTTATAGTTTTTGAGATATGCGCCTTTAAAGAAGTCCAAGAACCTCGTTTACGCGCGTAACTTTAAAAGCTTATATCTCAAAAACCAAAAGAGGGATTAAAAACTTTTTAACTCAACAATTATGAATGTTAAAGTTTTACACATTTTGCTGAAATTTAATGTTCAGCTAGCTTTCGTAGTTTTCGAGATATGCTTTAAATTAGTGCCCCTAGATCCTTTGAAAAGTATGCCTCTAAACTTCCACTTTCAGCTGAACTGTCTCGGTCCCTGTAATAGATACCAAAAATCTGTAAACAATTAAAATGTTGGTGATATTTCGGCAAACATTTTGTCAGTTGACCCCTTTTTGATATTTTTGATAGAAACCGAGATAATATTGAGTTCAAAACTTCCTTACTATTAGCTAACATTTTTTTCATTTTAAGGACCTAATGCTCAACCTGCTATTTGTGATCTACCTAACAATTCGTCTCAACTGCTCCACAAAATCATTCATGGTAACTTTTGGATTCTTCGATTCAACCAACATCGCCTTCTTCATCTACCTCCTGTATGACGGTTACCAAGTTCTCGAAGTCTCCATGAACACATTCTGCGTCTCCACACAACTCGCATATGGACACTGGCTCAATGGAGTGCTCTCGATTTCGTTTTGATGGTTTCATTTTTATACGAATGATCTCACGGCTTCGTTTTTCATAAATGAACAAGAAAACTTAGATGTATTATTTTTTAAAAATGCATTCAGGTACAATATAATTTTTATCAGAAATTAATTTAAAACAATGAAATTAACAGAAACAAGATCTGCTATATCATTATAAACTTCAATTTTTGCAAAAATCCACTCCAATCTGGAATGGTTCGTCCATAAACCATCAGATTCTTAAATTTTGGAAAAAATCCCTTTTTCCAAAATTAAAAAAAACTATTCAAATCGCGAAGTGAGAATTGGTTGGTATGCAAAGTACAACGTCCCACATTCTATGTTAAAAAATCGTCGAATTTCGGGTTCCGAAGAGAATAATATATTTTCAACTCTTTCAAATTTGCCATTCCAATGTGCGGAATGGAGATGTTCTCTGGAAGAGTAACATGATACGATCGAACGTGTTCAACATATGGTAAAAAAGCTTTCAAAACATTTTGAGTGCTTTTTAATGTCGTGATCGATCGGTTCAGCCACCATGAATATCGATTCGTCTGAGTTTTGGAAAGTTATTCCGAAGCGATTGAATATCAAATCTTAAATTGTATATATAAAATTCGCAACGGAATCGAGCAGATATAAATCGAGCAGATATGATGAACCAACTCTCCTATACTTTTTTCTTGATTTGACCAAGTGAATGATGTATATTCATTGCTGGCAGACAATTCTTTTCCGTGCATAGCTCGACATTGACAGGAATATCATAGAGGCTCATAATCTCTTCGTCGGTTTCGCCCATTCTCCACTTTAATTTGACAAACATGTGACCAAATTTAAACCATAGACTGGACCATGCTGTTGTGATTTGAGCCTTTTCAAGTGATAAACGAAAAGATTGAACCAGTGATAATGTCTTCTTTGAAGTTAATGAATAAGAGATTCTGAAAATAAATGAGGTCAATGCAACGGATAAAAATCTTTGAAGGATATCAACTCACATTTCAAGAGGATTCATAGTTTCCAGAACCTTTGAATAAAGATCATTGGGTAGACGTCGGAAAGGGAATCTCGGATTGGTAATTTCTGGAAAAAGGCAGAAATCAATGAAACAGATTACATTTATTAGACGAGATTAGGAAGGACAACAAACAGATAAAAAAGGAAACAAGAGCACAGTAAAGCCGATAGAAGAGGGTCAATAAGGACGGGTCTCGAATGGAAAAGGCGTATGAGATGTAAAATGTTGATCAAGAGAGTAACGAGGTGTCAAAAAGGGGTATCCTGGGAAGGTCTTTCTCGATGGCAGGAGTTTCCGGAAAGACTGGAATATAAGGTTCCCAATTTTTAAAATTTGCAAAGCCTGTGTAATGACCATCGTAACGAAAACTATCGTAACCTAAAACTTTCGGTTTTTTCTCGATTATTTTTGATTTTAGACAAAGTTTGTGTTAAAAACCTTCAGAAAAGTCGGGAAGTTAAAGGTTCCTGAATCAAAAACAACTCCATTTTTCGCCTACTTTTTTGTTGGAAAATCCATAAATCCGTTGAGCCGAATTACTGATACTTGTCGTTGTGTTTCTATTTGCTTTATTTAGCTTTTTTTCTCTAAAAAGGTTTTAGAGTAGCTTCAATTAAATGATAAACAAAATGTTACGATTGTCCGAAAAAAAATTTGTTAAAGGAGGCCAGACACAAAAAAAAAAGTTTTCCTGATATTTTGCATAGAGAACCCCCATGAGGGGTTGAACTCATGACAGGCAGCTCAGGAGTACAGCGCCGCTACCGGCTGAGCTACGGGAAGGCGCCTGACGACCGATGGTCTACATAAGCGCGGCGCGATTTCGTCCCCCGAACTGCCCCGCCGAAATTTTTGCTGTCTCGCCTCCTTTAATTCGATTCGAACAAAATAATAACTATTAAAAAATTTATTCAGGTAAAATATGACTTTAAATAACAATTAATTTGAAACAGTAAAAGCAACAGAATCAGGAAAACCTACATTATCCAAAATTGCAATTCTACCGCACACCCCAAAACAATTCTTAATTGTGTAAACCGTTCCTTCTATTGTTTCCTCCTCCTGTAATCCTTTTTACAGAACGTTTCTAGACGGAATGGTTCCTTTGTTTCCATGTACCATCAAAAACTTCAATCTTGGATTGGATCCTTTCGTCCACAGTTTGAAGAAGCGATTCAAGTCGCGAAGCGAGAATCGATTTCCAAGAATTGTGCAACGTTCTGCATTCAGTGTTAGAAGATCATCAAGTTTCGGATTTTGCGGATAATATACTTCCAACTCTTTCAAATTTGCCATTCCAATGTGTTGAATGGAAAGGTTGCCTTGGAGAGGGACACGATATAATCGGAAATGTTTTACACATGGTAGAAAAGTTGTTAAAATGTTTTGAGTACTTTTAATGTCGTGCTCACTCGTTTGAGCTGTGAAACAATAAATACCGGCTTTACTGAGTTTCGGAATAATATTCCGAAGGGATTGCACATGGTATTTTATCTTTCCAATATGAAAATCAGCTTCATAAAGTTCGCATCGAAAAATCGAGCAGATATGTTTGACCCAGTCTCCTATACTTTTTCCTTGATTGGACCAAGCGAAGGGTTCGATGTGCCCCATTGCTGAATTGTCAATTTTTTGAACTGATACATCAACATCGATAGGAATCTCTTCAAGGCCTGGCATATCTTCGTCAATTTCGTCCATTTTCCAATTGAATTGGACAGTATTGTTACCAAAATCCAAATAGATCTCCGGCCAATCGTTCATTCTTATTCGAGCATTTTTAAGTGATACGCCAAGAGATTTAACCTTTGATAATGCCTTCTTTGAAGTTAAGGAATAAGCGATTCTGAAATGAATCCTGCTCAATGCATCGGATAAAAAACTTTTGAGGAAATATGCTCACATTTCATGGCGTTCCATAGTTTTCAGAACCATTGAACAAAGATCATTGGACAGACGTTGGAAAGGGAATCTCAGATTGGTCATTTCTGGTTTTTATTCGGCAAAATGAGGGAGGACATATCATATCATACCCGCAGGTATTCAAATGAGATTTTCTGAAAGAACATTGCAGATAAAGCGGGAAAAAAATATTCAAAAAACTTTATTCAACTGCAACAAAAAATTTTAGCAGGATTTAAATTAAAACAGTAAGCTCAAAAGAAACATGAGCAGGCATATCATCAAACATCTTGATTCTAGCGCGAATCCCATAATCATTCTGAATTGTGTACTCCTTTCGTTTTTCCTCTCCTTCTGCTTGTATTCTTCTTTCTTCTTCTGGCTGTAGTCCTTTCATTAAAACATTCCAATCTGCAATGTTTTCCCCATGAACACGCAAATTCTTCAATTTCCCTGGCATATCTTCGTCAATTTCGTCCATTTTCCAATTGAATTGGACAGTATTGTTACCAAAATCCAAATAGATCTCCGGCCAATCGTTCATTCTTATTCGAGCATTTTTAAGTGATACGCCAAGAGATTTAACCTGTGATAATGCCTTCTTTGAAGTTAAGGAATAAGCGATTCTACAAAGAATCCTGCTCAATGCATCGGATAAAAAACTTTTGAGGAAATAAGCTCACATTTCATGGCGTTCCATAGTTTTCAGAACCAGTGAACAAAGATCATGGGGCAGACGTTGGAAAGGGAATCTCAGATTGGTCATTGCTGGTTTTATTCGGCAAAATGAGGGTGAACAGCAATCAGATGGAAATAGGAAGGAAGGGGATTGAGTCAGCAGAGCTAATGGACGAGAGGAAACTATCGATTTGGGTTAATCAATAACGTCGGGTCTCGAGTGGAGAACGCGTATCTAATGCAGATACGACTTCAAGTATATATAGGAGAGTAACAAGGTGTGGACCTTGAAGAGATTCCTATCGATGTTGATGTATCAGTTCAAAAAATTGACAATTCAGCAATGGGGCACATCGAACCCTTCGCTTGGTCCAATCAAGGAAAAAGTATAGGAGACTGGGTCAAACATATCTGCTCGATTTTTCGATGCGAACTTTATGAAGCTGATTTTCATATTGGAAAGATAAAATACCATGTGCAATCCCTTCGGAATATTATTCCGAAACTCAGTAAAGCCGATATTTATTGTTTCACAGCTCAACCGAGTGAGCACGACATTAAAAGTACTCAAAACATTTTAACAACTTTTCTACCATGTGTAAAACATTTCCGATTATATTGTGTCCCTCTCCAAGGCAACCTTTCCATTCAACACATTGGAATGGCAAATTTGAAAGAGTTGGAAGTATATTATCCGCAAAATCCGAAACTTGATGATCTTCTAACACTGAATGCAGAACGTTGCACAATTCTTGAAAATCGATTCTCGCTTCGCGACTTGAATCGCTTCTTCAAACTGTGGACGAAAGGATCCAATCCAAGATTGAAGTTTTTGATGGTACATGGAAACAAAGGAACCATTCCGTCTAGAAACGTTCTGTTAAAAGGATTACAGGAAGAAGAAACAATAGAAGGAACGGTTTACACAATTAAGAATTGTTTTGGGATTTGCGCTCAAATTAAAATGGTCAATTATGTACGTTTTCTTGTTTCTGTTGAGTTTACAGTTTCGAATTAACTACTGCTAAATAGTTCTGCATTTGTACCTAAGTAACAATTTATTAATAGTTTTTCTTTTTTAATTAAATATCTGATTTGTAAACTCTGTTCACCAAGATTCCTATTTTCCCACCTACCAAATCCGTTTTCCCCGAAGACTCCCTTTTGACCCCTCGATTCTCTGCTATATGCTCTTGGCGTTGTACTTAGATACGCGTTTCCCCTCGATACCTAACGTTATTGATTAACCCAACTACGATAATGTCCTCGGCTCAATAGGTTCTGCTGGCTCGATTCCCTTCTTGTCTATTTTATCTGTGCGCTGTCCTCCCTTATTTTGTCGAATAAATTGGTTCTATTTTATTGTTTCTTCTTCTTTTCCCAGATATGACTACCAAAGAAGTGAAAATTTCTGAACTCGGAAGTCGGAAGTGTCGGAAGTAAAATTTCTTCTTCGGAAGTCGGAAGTAGGAAGTCGGAAGTGAAAAAAATACTCGGAAGTAGGAAGTCGGAACTCCTGACATCTCTGATGACTACTCTGAAATTCCCTTTCCAACGCCTACCCAAAATATCGATCACAGATTGGAATGTTTTGATAAAAGGGTTACAAGCAGAAGAAGTAGAAGATGAAGAAAGTGCTAAGGAGTTCATAATTCAGAATTGCTATGGTATTCGCGCTAAAATAACAATTTATAATGAGCTAGAACTCTTGTACATGTTATTCTCACTGTTTCAAATTAATTTCTTCTAGAAGTTCTACTGTACCTGAATGAAATTTTTTAATAGGGTTTTCTTTGTTCACAATTTCCACATAAATCGGCTCTAATTTTACAAAAGTTTCTTTTCTGGGGACTGAAAAAAATGTAACGACAAGAACAAAGAATTTACTGTCAAACTGATTTCTGAAATTTCAAAGAAAAACACACACTTTTCTCTGACGTCTTCTTTTCTGAATTCGTTGCCTCCGTCGTCCGTTTCCAGGAGAAATCTCACGTCGCCTGACAAAACATTTTATGTGAAAATTTTCTCCATAGAAACATGCATAGCTTCGGCTCCGAGGGCCTCTTTCACTTTTATTCTTTTTCGATTCTCTCCGCATTTTTTAACTAAAAAATTCTAAAAAATGTCCGCTCCGGATCGCCGATTCTCTGTCACTCTATCGGAAGACGATCTTCGTCCACACATGAGAAAGCCAAGTGAGAATAGTTTTTCATGTTCTAGACAAATTTGAAGTAGCTGCACAATATTTATGGACTATTAATGGCCCCTCACTTACATAATCTCTATGTTGTACCAGAAAATTTGTGTTGATGTTTCTTTTTTGCAGTGTGCATCGACAAAAAATTTTCACTTTTGTCGACAAATTTATCTGACAAATTATCGATAAAAACGACAAAATTTTGTCGATGAATTGTCGACAAATTAGCGGTAAATTTGTCGAAAGTCTTTTATCGACAAAATTTTGTCAACAATTTGTCGATAAATTTGTCGAGGGGGGCATTTGTCGACAAATTATCGACAAAAAATGCTATTAACCGCTGGAATTACTTGTAAAAAATCGTATCTCATCTTTTTTCTAGGCCGTCTGACTTGGTGGCCTAAGTTTCCCGACATGAATTTTGTAGGCCACCAAACTTTTTGACCTGAAAATGATCTGATGTTCACCTGGTGGGTTTTGGGACATTTTAACATGGTGGCCTAACTTTTGCAGGTTGAGTTTTCCAGAACACCAACTTTTTTTCGCCTGAAAATGGTCTGATATTCATCTGGTATGTTTTGAGGCCATTTTTGCATGGTGGCCTAGAAAACTCAACTTGCGAAAGTTAGGCCACCATGTTAAAATGACCTAAAAACCAGGTGAATATCAGATCATTTCTAAGCTGAAAAGGTTCGTGGACTAGGAAATTCGTCTTGGGAAAGTTAGGCCACCTAGCCAGATGGCCTATAAATTTTGCATGAGCAAGTTCGGCTACCGTTCCAGACGTCCTAGGAAAAATGGTAACGATACGATTTTTTACAAGTCATTCCGGTGGTTGATAGCAATGAATTTGTCGAAAAATAGCATTTTTATCGACAAATTTATCGACAAATTGTCGATAAATGTTGTTTTTATTGACAATTTGTCGGTAATTTGTCGATAAATTTACCGGTAAATTTGTCGAAAAGGGCGTTTGGTGACAAATCATTTGTCGATAAGGCACTCTGCTTTTTTGGAGGGAAATATTAAACTTTAGAGTTCTACAGAAGTAGTAAAGAATTTTTCAAATTATCTGAAATTTTTCAAGTCTACCATACAAAATTAGATCTTTAATTTTGTTCTTAACAGCTTTCTCATAAACATTGTCCAAATGAGATATACCGATTAAAAGTGTCGTGACTCTAAATTCGGTGCTTCTTGGTTTCAAGTGGTATATCTTCTTTCGATACAAAAATGTTGTTAACTACCAAATTAAAGCTCTATTTCTGTTTAGTATACACAAAAGTTTTCAGAACAATTGAAAATTTTGGACTGCTTTTTTGGGCTCTAAACTTGGCTACCGTAGATAAGGCTCAAAAGTTTAGAACCAGTAAAACTGGAAGCTGTTGCTCCACCGGCGCCAGCTAATAGCGAAATCGAGGAGTTGCGGAAGAAGATGGAGAAACGAGAAGCTGTGAAGAAGGAGGTGAAACGTCGTATAGAGGAAGAAGAAAAGGAGAAGGAGCGAAAGAAAGCTGAGGAGGAGATTCGGAGAGAAACTGAAGAGTTGTTGGCGATTCGAGCGATCAGTCGTGCTGAAAGTCGTGCTGAAATTTTTGTTGGAAGTCGTCCCGTTCCACGTGGAACTGGCTCAATGCCAAGACTAGGTCGGCGAGTCAAAAATTTCCAGTATTTCAAGTGGGATTCTGAGGAGGAGGTTCAAGCGATTCCAGCGGAGTTTCGTCCACAATCTAGAAGGTTTTTGGTTTTTTTTTGTGATAAAATGGCCTAGAAATCACTTGACATGCCCCTGGTGTGTTGTCTAGATCATTTTAACATTGTGGCCTAACTTTTGCAAGCTANTTTCCTAGGCCACCATGGTTGAAATGACCAAATGTTGAGATGATAAAATGACCTAGAAAACACAAAATCTAATTAATTCTAGGCCAAAAAAGATGGTGGCCTAGAAAATCCAACTTGCAAAAGTTAGGCCACCACTTCAAAATAACCTAGAAAACACACCAGGGGCCTGCTAGGTCATTTCTAGGTCATTTTGAAGTGATGGCCTAACTTTTACAAGTTGAGTTTTCTAAGCCACCACTTTATAATGAGGTTGAAAACACATCAGGGACATTTTAGTCCATTTCTAGGCCATTTTATCATGGTGGCCTAGAAAAACCCAACTTGCGAAAGTTAGGCCACTACGTTGAACTCCCCTAGAAATTATACGAGGAAGACGTTAGGCCATTTCTAGGCCTTTTTATCATGGTGGCCTAGAAAAACCCAACTTGCGAAAGTTAGGCCACTACGTTGAATTCCCCTAGAAATTATACGAGGAAGACGTTAGGCCATTTCTAGGCCTTTTTATCATGGTGGCCTAGAAAATCCCAACTTGAAAAAAAATAGGCCATCACTTCAAAATGACCAAACAAGCGGGAAAAATACAAGGAACGACAGTTTGAAATTCATGACTATATTGCACATTTTTTGAGAAATCTCGAAAAACGCATTCCTCGGAAAATTTCTCGAAAAATCTCGGAAAAAATGTGTTTTTTTCGAAAAATAGGCGGAGCTTAGGTACGGTAGCGAAGTTTTATTTTATGGCCTATTTTTAGTTCGATTTTTCAATAATTTTCATGACAATTGTCATAATTCATGCAATTTTTTGGGATTTGTCGGATTTTCGAGACAAAAAAGTTCAAAATTGATAAAATTCGTCGAAAAATCGAAAGAATGTATATAATTTTCGGCGATTTTTTGAATATTTTTAAAAATCACCAAAAATCGCATGAAAAAAATGATACCTTTTTCGATTTTTCGATAATTTTCATCAGTTTTGAACTTTTTAAACAAAAAAAATCGCATAAAAACTATGAAAATTATCAAAAAGTCGCAAAAAATAGGCCAGAAAATATTTACGAAAACTATATGCTTCTTTAAAGAATTCGGTTACCAGACCTAAGCTCCGCCCATTTCTCGAAAAGAAAACCACTTTTCAGAGATTTTTCGAGAAATTTTCCGAGGAATGCGTTTCTCGAGATTTCTCGAAAAATGTGCAATATAGTCATGAATTTCGAACTGTCGTTCCTTGAATTTTTCCCGCTCGTTTGATCATTTTGAAGTGATGGGCTAACTTTTTCAAGTTGGGTTTTTTAGGCCACCAAAATGGCCTAGAAATGACCTAACATGCCCCGGTGTAATTTCTAGGCAATTTTATCATGTTTGCCTAGAAAACTCAGCTTGCAAAAGTTAGGCCATCACTTCCTCCCCTTTTGACGAATTTCATCGATTTTTCGATGATTTTCACTGTTTTTTGTCGATTTTTAAATAGGCCAGGATAATATTCAAATTTTCCAGAAGCTTCACCCCAATTCCACGCTCGCAAGGCTCTTGCGAGCTGTGCACACTGGCTCTTCGCTCTGTGGACAAGTCGGGCGGCCCAACGAAAAGTGCCGCGTGCGCTCATGTCGACGCATTCGTCGAGGCATCTTCCCGTCACTAAATCTTTTGTTGTAATAAAGATAAAATAAAAATTCTCTGAGAAGTTCTATATTATCAAAAAAAAAAGACTCGATTGTGTGGCACCAGAAGAGGACAAAATACAGAGATACATGTCACAAGAGAAGGAGAGAGTACAGAGAAGAAAACGAGTGATACAACCCGCGCTATAAGGAAAAAATATGCAATTTTTTGGTGAAGGTTTTGTGAGTAGTTTCAGGGAGGAGGAGGCAAACATGAGACAGATTGAGATCACAAGAGACAGAGAGAAGGAAATTAATAGATTTTATGAATTATGAGCTATCCGAATCGGCGTCGCTTGACTGGGCCAGGGAGCTCTGCGAGGAACGCTCCTGATGGATTTGATCGCTGATTTGTTCCAATACTCTCATCGAGTCGCTGTATCTGTCTTTTCGCTCTTGGACCTGGAAAATTGAAGAATTATAGATAGTCCTACTCTATTTTTTTCTACCGTAAAACCTGTAATAGAAGGGCCCCCTATCTCGGTTCCTGATAAAGATATCGAAAAGTTGTCAACTGACAAATTGTTTATCATAGTATCCTATACATTTTATCAGTTGACACATTTTCGATATCTCTTATAGGAGCTGAGATAATTGAGCTCAAATTTTACAAAGCTAGTTAAATCGAAAATTGAGAAAATGGCTCACCTCACTTTCCAGAATCGACATGAGCTCCAGCTGAGAGTTCATCGTTCGAGTGAGCACCTCTTTTCGCTCGTAGTACGGTCGCGCTTTTTTGATAGAGGATCTGAAAAATAGTTTGGTTTATCCGGGTGGGTCCCTTTTATATACCCAGATAATTTGATGAGAATTTCGAGCGGGCCGACTGATATCTTGTCCCTAGAACGAGATATTCAGACGGTTTTGGTACCAAATGATCTCTCAAGGTCTCTCGACAAGGCCCATCACGTCTATATCATTCAGGCCAGATTCCAATCCGATAACATGCCGAACCCTGGGCTTGAATTCTCGACCAACTTGACGAAAGGTAGATTTTTTGTCGTTCAAACACATTTTCAACATGTTATCGGACCGGAATCCGGCTGACATGAAATAGACGTGATGGGCCCCGTCGAGATCTATCATTTGGTAAACTGTATGAATATTTCGTTCTAGGGACAAGTTATCAGACGGCCCGCCACCTGTCCGGGCCGGCTCACTTGCAAGTATGAAAATAGCCTTTCTAGAAGCATCTAAAGAATTTTAGAAACTTAAAATCACCAGTTTCAGCTAACTAGGGAACTATCTGATCGGGATTCCCAGTTACACTTCATGACCTATATCATTAGAAAGCCCATAAAATTCTGATCCGGAACATGTAACACTCGGCTGAAACTCGAGATTTCAAGATTTTAAAATATTCAGAAATCTTGAAAATCTCATCAAAATCTGGGTCTCTTCTAGAGGAAAAGCTCTTACCCATGCTCTTGCGACAACTTCTTCATCGCCATCTCCAGCTGCAACAGGTCTCTAACCCTGGCCGCGTGCATTTTCTCAGCCTTCAAACACTCGTCCTCGGCCTCGCGTACCAAATCCAACTGCTGCTCAATTACATCGACATAATGCTTCTCGGCATCCGATTCCAGGTTATTATTCAGTGATTGATGAAGCAGTTGCACTTGTTCTCTCGCCATCTCCACTGCCGTCTTCTGTCGTTCGAATTCGGCGGCCGCTTGTTGAACGAACTTTCGAATTTCGGTTTCGCGAGATTTGAGCTCGAAAAATGGGCGGGACTTGGAGATTTGTTTGGCGAGCTTTTTGGCGATTCCCGAGATTTCTTTGTTGAACATTAGCTGCGTTTCGCTGGAAATTTTCGGTTTTTAGAATGTGTCATAAATAATAAAAACTCTCATTTTTTTCTATTTTTTCTCCCCTGCAGGAACATAAAATAACATAAAATTCCAGTTTTTTCTAGGTGATAAAACGGCGAAAATTACAAAAAATCTCACCAAAACTGCCGTTTCACACTCTCCAACTTCATCTCATAGCTATTAATGTCATCTGTGGCGTCGTTCAAATTTTCGAGCTGTTTTCTAATCGATACGAGCTGATCGTCTCCTCCTTCCGTCATTTTTTGTCGATGGGTGGTTCTGCAAGCCGGTCATTTTTTGTTAGTGATAAGAGAAAAAATTCTTCACAAAATGCCGGAAAAGTTGCGGGCGAGCCCGGTGACATTTAGAGGAAAAAGTGAAAGAAAATCGGAAAAAATGATGAAAAAGTTTTCTACAGTCCTTTAAAAGCGCAAAAATTATCAATTGAGTCTCGCCACGAAAACGTTAATTTCGGCTGAAAATTGGAAAAGGTTATTTAAAAGGGTTGTTTTCAACATTCTTTGTATTTTTTTTTCAGTTTTTGAGTTGTTGTTCTACATTATTTGTCAACAAATCAAGCGGAAAACACATAGAAAATGTGAGGAATTTCCACAAATTCATGAAAAAAATCTACAGTATTTTAAAGGCGCATGCTTTAAAGTGTTTTTGGAGTCTTGCCACGAAAACTAATTTTAATGAAAAAAAGGCTGTTTTCAGCGTTTTTCTTGTTATTTTTTGAGCAATTTTGTTGTTTGAGTTGTTGCTCTACATTTTTAATTTAATAAAATCTACCGAATTTGCCTAAAAACACTCAAAATTTAGTCAAACTGACTCAAGAAGCTTTGAAAAAAAAAATACAGTAACTTAAGGGCACAAGCTTCTAATATTCATTGGGCTTCGAAGCGAACTTGTCTTTCAAAACATATGGAGTTTTTAAATTAAAAAAAAAGATTTTAAAAAGCAGACAACTCTTTAAAAATCAGATGTAAAAGTTCAAAAACAAGAACAACGAGCGATTGCGAAGGGGGTGAAAGTGTGAATGTCGTCGGCGGGCTAGAAAAGAGAAAAAGAAGAGAATTTCAGATACGGTTTTCATCTTTTTTCACATTTTCGGAAAGAAGGAAGAGCGTTTTTCGGTTTTTGAAGGCCGTGCAACAGCAGCAGTAGCAAGCAATGAAAACCGATTGGCAGAGGAGAGAGTGTAGAGATTTGAGAGACGCAGAGAAAGGCATTGGAGAAGGACAGTGTCGGGATGTGTGAGTGGGTGGCAATTATGATGGTGCGAAGATGGTGGTGGGGAGCACTGTGGGCCGTTATGACGATGAGATAGTGAGAGACGCAGAGAAAGTGAGGGTGTGACCGCAAAACACAGAAAAAAACGGGGACAGTTCTTGGTGGTGGGGTGGACAGGTTAAGGATGACGTCGTCAGTCGGAAGGAATAGGGGAAGTGAGAGAGTATGGCGAAGTGAGAGAGTGGGAGAGAAAAAGATAGTGATCTATTTTCTGTGTCTTTAGAAATTGATGAGAAAAAAGGAAAAGGAAACACGAAGAGGAGAAGAAGAAGAAGAAAGTACGAAATTGTCAAATTTTTTGTTATTTTAGTTAGACAGTTTTAGATAACATGTGATTTTTTTGGGGTCAGTATCATGTATTCAACCACCTGTTCAAGGTCAAGAGAATAATCAAAATCCAAAGTTCATTTCAAATAAATGGATGGACTAGAATTTCGGCATCTTTGAAAGTTAGGCCAGCAACATTATCACATTTCTTTGGAAATTCTGAATATCTGGGCTTGAAAATATTTGAAGTTTTTGAGTTTTTGGATTTTCGAACTTCTCAAATTTTTAGGAAATTTTGAATATTTGAAACTTTTTGAAAATTTTGAAAATTTTGACTCATGGATTTTTAGGATTTTCGGAATTTCTGAATTTTTGTGATCTCAGAATTTTTGGAATTTCGAATTTTCGATTTTAAAATGTTTGAAATTTTTTTTGATTTTTTGTATTTCTGAATTTCCGAATTTTAGATAATTTTGGACTTTTTTTGAATTTTTTAATTCCGAATTTTAAAATTTTTTTGAAAATTTTGATTTTTGAATTTTTTGGAATTTCTTAATTTTCTATATTTTCCGAATTTTCCGAAGTTTAGATTTTTGGATTTTTTTTGAATTTCCGTATTTTCGAAATTTATGTATTTTTAAATTTTTTTTGAAATTTATGTGCTTTTTGAATTTTTCCCAGATGGCCTAGAATTCCAAGTTTTTGGGAATCTGAGACACCAAGAAATTTGGCCTAACCTCCCAAAGTTAGGCCATAGAACCCCAAACTTTGAAAAACTAGACCACCATGATTCCTAAAAATTTGTTAACATACTTCTTGTGATAACATTGATAACAAGGCAAAAAGATAAGTGGGGAGAAAAAAGAGAAGAATTCGCCACCTATTGGATCAGGTTTTCTAGAGAGTGACTAGAAAAGTGGGCGGGGCTTAAGGGGAAAAGAGGATAGGTCAAATTTTTTTAGAAATAGATCGCAATCTTTTTGTTTTCTGAAAATTTAGAAGTTACCGAAAAATTGGAAGAGGGGAAATTTTGAAAAAAAAACAGTTTTTTAAAAAATCAAAGTTGTCGAAAAATGTGAAGAAAACAGATGAGAAATTAGAAAATAGAAAAAAAAGATTCGGCGAAAAAAGTAGTAGGTTTACTATTCCAATATAGAAACTGATAGGTGTTGGGTGTTGGGTAAATAGAAAAGAGTGGAAAAAACGAGAAAGTGTGCTCAATTGATAATTTGATAGGGGAGAAGAGTAGGGGTGAGTCATCAGATAGATGAGAAGCCAATTGGTTTTTTAGTTTTTTCCTTTCTTGGGGGAAAATTGAAGATTTTGGGGTTTTTTAAAGTTCGAAATTAGAGATAGTTCCCCATTTAAAAAATTTGTTTTTTTTTTCAAATTCTCTAGGCCATTAAAATTTTTCTGGTCATTTTGATTTTTCTAGGCCATCTCAAATGTTCTAGGCTACTTTAAATTTTTTGGCTACTTTTAATTTTCTCATCCGTTTCGAGATTTCTAGGCGATTCGGGATTTTCTCGGCCATTCCGAGTTTTCTAGCTCATTTTGAATATTCTAGGCCATTCCGGATTCTAGGTCATTTCGAATTTTCTAGCCCATTTTGACTTTTTTAGACTAATTTGAGTTTTCTAGGCCATTTATTATTTTCTAGGCCAATTGGAATTTTCTAGGCCATTCCTGATTTTCTAGGTCATTCCCAGGTTTCTAGGCCTTTTCGAATTTCCCAGGATGTTTCGAATGTTTTAATAGTACAGAAGCATCAAAATGGCCTAGAAAATTCAAAATGATCTAGAAAAATCGAAAACGCCCAGAAAACGAAAATTGGCCTAGAAATACTGGTATGGCCTAGATAGTTAAAAAAGGTTTGGAAAATCCAAATTGGCCTAGAAAATTTGAAATAGCCTAGAAAATTCAAAACAGCTTAGAGGATGCAAAATGGCCTAAAAAATTCATAATGGCCTGCCTAAAGTTCAGAATTCTTAGAATTCTAGATCCTTCCTTTTCCAGAAAATTTTCTACTACTAAATACTTTCTCGGAAAAAGAAAAAAGTAAATTGAATCACTTTTGAGGTATTGAAGGTGGCCTAATCCGTTCGGACGAGAAGGACACACATATGAAGAATGGGGAAAAGAAGAAAAAGTAGAAGAAGAACAAGAGAAGATTAAGAAAGAGAAAAGGATCTCGGGTGGCGAAAAGAAACCACTTTTCGGCGGACGGATTTGTTGTGGAAATAGCAAAAGCCGTCGAAGAATTGTAAATGAGAGAAACATGAAAAAAGAAGAAAAAGTTTTAAAAGTTTCGGGTAGAGTCGAAAAGCCTCTGACTATTTAATTGTTGGGGATTTTCGGTTTTTTTGGTTTCAAATGGCAGAAAATGAAAAATCACAAAACCTCAGAAAATCGAAAAGAAAAAAAATCCCTCGGAATGTGAAACACATGTGAGGGGATTAGTCATCTGGGGTTGATCCAGAACTTTCTGGATGATTCTAGAATCCAAATTTTCAATTTTTAGCGGCGATTCAAAGTATTAAGAGTCGAAGAATCGAAGAATCGAAGAATCGAAGAATCGAAGAATCGAATAATCGAAGAATCGAAGAATCGAAGAATCGAAGAATCGAAGAATCGAAGAATCGAAGAATCGAAGAATCGAAGAATCGAAAAATCGAAGAATCGAAGAATCGAAGAATCGAAGAATCGAAGAATCGAAGAATCGAAAAATCGAAAAATCGAAGAATCGAAGAATCGAAGAATCGAAGAATCGAAAAATCGAAGAATCGAAGAATCGAAGAATCGAAGAATCGAAGAATCGAAGAATCGAAGAATCGAAGAATCGAAGAATCGAAGAATCGAAGAATCGAAGAATCGAAGAATCGAAGAATCGAAGAATCGAAGAATCGAAGAATCGAAGAATCGAAAAATCGAAAAATCGAAGAATCGAAGAATCGAAGAATCGAAGAATCGAAGAATCGAAGAATCGAAGAATCGAAGGATACTTTGTTTCAGAATTCTCAAGAAAAAGATCCTTCTAGAAGCCAGGAACTAAAGTCTGAAGCGTCATCTTTCTATGAAAAATAGGGATCAAATGATCTGGTGATAAGGGTCAAAGGATAGATAGATAAGAGAGAACAGCTGACAAAAATCAGAAATCTTTTTTCATTTCTGTGTTATCTGTCAAAATGAATAATAAAAAAATCTAGATGTCAGGTGACTAGAGACAACTGTCAAGGAAAAAAGTTGGATTTTGGATTTTTTTATTTGAAAGAATTTTTGAATGAGGGAACAGTTTAAAAACATTTAAAAAAAATGGCAAAAGCCGGACTATCAGTAAATCGGAAATTCGGAAGTTTAAATAAAAAGAGCCCTGTTAACTTTGACTCAATTTATCTCAGTTCCTATAAGAAGTATCAAAAAATGATTAACAAACAAAACGTTTATCATAATGTCAATAATATTTTATCAGTGGACCACTTTTTGATGTTTTGCACAGGAACCGAGATAACGGAGAACAAAGAAAGTTGAGGTGGAGTACCGGTCTACTTTGACTCAGTTTTTCTCAGTTCCAGTGAAAGATATTGAAAAATAATCAACTAACAAAATATTTATCACAAAGTCACCAATATTTTATCAGTTGACAAAGTTTTGATATCTTTTACAGGAACCGAAATAAACTGAGTTAAATTAACTACAACAGTACCTCAAAAAATAACTATTTTTAGCCAAAATGAAATAAAATATCAAACAATGTTGTCGAGAAAACTGGAACTGTTGACAGTTTTCTTGAAAAAGGGATGAAGTGTAAAAAAAAACGAAAAGACGATGAAGATAACGATCAAGCATCTTCCTATTTCTCGAGACTACACGAAAGGGTGTTTGTTTGAAATTTCAGAGAAATGGAGATTTTGATTTCGATTAGCGATACTGAAAGAATTATAAAAAAAAAGAGACAAGGTTAATGAAAAGGAAAAGAAGAAGAAGAATGATGATGATTTGCAGAGAAAGAGAAAAAAGTTTAAAGAGAGAGGTCACCGAATTTCAAAAAAATTTTGAGGAGAATAAGTCAAGTGGAAGAGATAGGAGATTCGGTCAGAAATGGACACCTGAACTGAATTTTTTAAAAATTAAAAAAAAAAAACATTTTTTGTGAAAGAACGTTTTCTATATCATTTTTAAGTAGCGGCAAAAAAGTAGCCCCGCTCATTTTGACCTGATTTATTTTGGTTCCTGTAAGCAATATCAAAAAGTGGCTAATTGAAAAAATATATTTCAAGTTCCTAGATTCTTAAACTCTGAAAAACGATCTTCTAGCAAAAATTTATTTCCGGGATTTCAAAAATTCACAAATTTTTAGATTTTTTCTTCGAATTGGCGGCGGATCCTGCATCCGTTCGTTTCGTATTAAGCCTGCTGTTCGCTGGAAAAGAATTTAAAAGTGCGAATTCGCTCTATTGAGATATCTTACCCGCACTTCTACACAGGTGATTCGCGAACAATCCGTTATGGACTCTCCGCGTTCGCGCGCGGTGGAAATAGGAATCGTATGCGGACCGTACGCGAACCGTTTCCAGCAAAACACAACACATTATTGCGGGTTTCTCCGTATTCTGTCCGTGAACTCCGTATCCGATCCGACCGCGAATGATGAACAAACGGTTCCGTACGCGAATCTGAATTCAATTTGAGATCGCGATAATGTGTTGTGTTTTGCTGGAAACGGTTCGCGTACGGTCCGCATACGATTCCTATTTCAACCGCGCGCGAACGCGGAGAGTCCGTAACGGGTCCGTTCGCATTGTACCTGTGTATACAACATCTTCAGGTATGTAGGGATCTTTTAGGAACTAGTAGAGTCCCTTTAAACTACTGTTAGATTTTCGTTTTAAAGGTGGGGGGGACAGGAGATTTTTCGGAGGTTTTTTGAAGTTAGGGTATGCATTCTGCCGTGACGGTGTACAACGCTGTCACTCTGCGTACAGCTGTAGTCCTCGCCTTTATGTACTCGGCTGCGGCTGTAGTCTTTTCGGCGAAGGTTGGCCCCCTTTTGGGCGCTGTTTGGCCAGATTACGCTTAAGATTTTCCCAGAAGGTGCCCAAACGCCGCTCAAAAGCTGGCAAAACTTCGCCCAGCTTTCGCCTAAAACCTTCCACCTTTGCTTTGAGTTCGCCTTAAATTTGTTTTTTTTTCTTTCTTGGAAGACTAGTACAATGAGAAAATTTTATTTATTCAAACAATTATGAAAACTAATACAAAAAAATGATGAAAAAAAGAACATACAAAAAAAAGAAGCTTAAAAAAATTTTCGCCTCCCGGCTTGATGTTGCCATCTTCACTTTATCCTTGTCCGTGTCCAAGTCGATTTTTCGATCGAGAAGTTGGATGTAGTTGTTATTTCTGAAAAAAATTATTAATTTTCAAAAAATTTTATCATTTTATTTTTCCCACTGAAAATTTGCTAAGTCTGACACTTAGCAGACTAGAAGGCTTGTGCAGAATTGAATTTCGATACATTTTAAACTATTTCTCACGACATTTCGCCTACCATTTCACTGGAAATCTCAAAAGAATTTTAAATGGACTCGATGAGGTCGGATTTTCATTGCCGATATACTTAGGGAAATATATCTTTACAAAATTACAAACATTTTGAAAGCATTTTCTCAGTATTTTTGGACGTTTTCGAAAGCTTCAAACCCAGAATATACGAGCCTTTGGAAGCTTCTTCTGACTTCGCGGTTTCTCTGACTTGTCCCTTCCAAGCGGAGGATTTGCGACATTCACGAAATTCCGAATTTTGAGTCTAAAAACGTTTTTAATGACTGAATAACATAATTGTTGTTTACCTTACATGCTATCAGTGGAAAACTCCTGGAGATGAATGAAAAAAGGATTTAATTGAAATTTTCTATTCCACTTACGGTTTTTGTTCTTCGTCGTTTTCGGTTTCGAAAATCTAATCATTTTTTGGATAAAATATTTAGAAGTTTGAGCAGGAATTCAGATAAAACACTGAAAATAGGAAAAAAATAGGTGATGCAAAATTCGAAATGCACGCGTCGCTTGCACGCAACGCATTCAAAACTCGCCCAGAGTTCGCCGAAGTTCGCCAAACCTGCGTCCGATCTTCTCCTACACCACCGACTTCCTATTTCCGTCGGGGTTCGCCAAATTTCGCCAGAGTTCACTTTTATTCTCTGAGTGAGCTCAATTATTTCGATTCATATGAAAGATTTCAAAAAGTTGTCAACTGATGAAAAATAGGTGACGTTATGATAAATTATTTATCAGTTGACAAATTTTTGATATCTTTGAAAAGAGCCAAGATAATTGAGCTCAAAATCGACGGATTGGGAGGTATTCTATTAGGGGAAATACGGTAGTCCGTTTGGACTTTGGTCTAGAGATTGTATATCAAATACGAGTTTTACGTCTTTTTACAGATACCAAAAGTTGACTTTTTAGATGGCATACATTTTATGATGTTTTTTCGCAATCCGCATCACTTTTTTCAACCGAGAAATTGTCCATAACTTTTGAAACTTTAAATTTCAAGTTCTGAGTATAAATTATCAATTATGAATTAAAACTGAGAAAGCAAAATATCTAAAAAAAATACATAGCAAATATAATGTCATGTTTTTATTGGCAACTGAACAATTCATTCAAATTCAAACACAGGCCATTACATCAACTAATATTTTCATCAACAGTTTGCCAACAGAGATTACCACCAAATTTCGCCCAAAAGGCGCACGAAACTCGCTCAAAAAACGACGGCGCTTTAACTTCGCCCAAAAGGCGCCCAAAGTTTGCTCAAAAGACAGCCGAGTATATGCACTCGGGCGGCCGCTTTCTCTTTGCCCGCGTGGCTCAGTCGGTAGCGGCGCCGGACCCTCAATTCTCGCCCCCACAAGTTCAACTTCTCGAGGGGCACATTTAAAAGGAATTTCGAGAACATTATTATTATTTTTTTTTCATGTCTCCCCACCTTTAAGGCGAGCAATTTTTGAAAATCTATTTTAGACAACCAAAATACTCACTTTAATGCTCTTTACAAGTCAGGTCAAACCGTATAATGTTCATAAACTTCAGACCAAAATTTAAAAAAAAAACATAAACTTCAGACCAAAACTTCAGACCAAGAGTTACAGTCTAAATTGTTTTTACCGTCAAGCTGCCAGAGAGACGCCGAACGTCCGTTCCTTAATTGAAGGCTATGTTTAAGGTTTATTTTTGAATGCGGTTTTTCAGGGTCCAAGGTTTCTATTAATCGTTCATAGATCAAATTTTTGTCTTCAAACTTTCAATCTTCCATAAAAACGATCCTAACGCACTTTTTATTCGGAGAAGAATACACAAAAAGTAGTAAGCCATTGTCATCATAAATCCCCAGGTTCTTCGGAAGATCAGAATGAGAGAGAAGAGAGATCATGTGAATGAGAGAGAAACAGAGAAACAGAGAAAAAAAAGGAGAGGAGAGAGATTGTAGTGGTGGTGGTGGGAGAAATATAATTGCGCATTTATTTTTTATTTGAAATTCCGTCGATTTTTACAATTTGGGGGGTCCATCAACATCATCAAAAGTCCAAAACCAAATCATCGTCCGTACATACCACCGGAAAATGGCATCGCTCCTCGCTTGATCTGGTTCTCATTGGCGGCATATCCTTGGCTCGCTTGGGATAATGATCGTTTTCCGTACATTCCTGGAAAA